AAGTCCTGGGTGAATATGTGCTGTTGACATGACCCAGCCAGGCCAAGGACCTTACTCTCAGCTGCATGGAAAAGAGCACACTGTCCACCTCCCTGGGGGGTGGGGTAAATTTAAGCTCAGAGAGGTAGCAAAGCCTCCCTCTGCTCCTTGCTCTGATGTTCAAAGAGTATTCTCTACTACTCAGCTATTAAAAACAAGAACATCATGAAATTTGCAGGCAAGTGGATGGAACTAGAAAAGATCATCCTGAGGTAATCTAGACCCAGAAAGACACACATGGTATGTACTCACTTATAAGCAGATATTAGCCATACAGTATTGGATAACTATGCTACAACCCACAGACTCAAAGAAAATAAGTAACAGAGAGGGCTCAAGGGAAGATGCTTGAATTCCACTAGGATGGGAAAATAAAAACATCATAGACATTGGGAGTAGAGGGAACTGTGTGAGAGATGGAGTGGAGAGGGGAGGATAAGGTGTGAGGAGTGAGAATGGGGGTGAGAGGGTTGGGAGGAAGTGGGTAAAAGGGTGGTACTGGGAGGAGAGGAAGGAGTTGGGGGTTGCTTTTGGGATATAAAATGAACAAATTAATAAATAAATGAAGATTAAAAACAATTATATTCGCCCCCTTGATTTGCAGCCTGAAGACTTCTCCCCTACAGAGACTACTACTACTAAGATTAGCTAACCCTGCCTCCTTATTCTGCTCTATTGTGACTCTGCTTAACTGTATGCAAAAGTCCACCTCTGTGTTCAAACTGTGTGTAATGAATGTATTGAGCTATGGGGTACTGCAGTTTCTTCACCAGAGTCCACTTCTCCCGATCCCAGCTTGTTGTCCTCTTTTCTTCATTCCTTCACCACCCCAGGCAGGTCTGTCCAGGGACCTGCAGTTGTGCTGAATGTGACAACATTTATTATTTCTTTCTGTAAGGTGCAAATACTTTTTAGTTTTTCTTTACTGTTTTTCTATGCTAATATGTTACTTTCTACTGAACAGTACATCAACAATTAAAAATATACACAGTACAGAAGGAAAGTCTAAGTCCTTAAACACAAAAAAAGAGTACATTAAGTCACAGCACTTAAAGACTCCAAAGTCTGCAAGCTATTGTCAGATTTTGGGGGTATTTTTTAATATTTGCATATAGATGATGTGGTTTCTTGGAGACTGGACCCAGGTCTAAGCTTGGAATTTGTACTTTATATATTCCTCACACACATAGTCTAAGAGTAATTTTGTGTGTCTATGTTTTCACTGTTATCACACCAATTTTCCTGTCAATAGTCAAAGAACTTGGCATTCTATCTTTCAGATTTGGATTTTCTGTAAAGAAAATCCATTTATACTTACTTCATGGCTTGTGCTCCCGGTCTTTGCACAATCCAAGTACTAAGTCCTTCTACTATGATGTCCACCAACTCTGGCTTTTGGTGATTTTCTCTTAGAACAATAGACATCCTTTTCAAGTGAACAAAAAACTTCAAGGCTTCAAACTAGAGAATATCCAGAATAAAAGAGAAGAGGTGTGGATGGGGAGAAGAAAGATATATAAATAAAACAATCTTATTTGTGTAACTCCTTTATTCCCAAAACCAGAGATAATTTTAAGACAATCCTTCATCTACCAAAGAATCACTAAAATAACTTTCATTTATATTTTGGGACTTAAGATAAAATCTTTATTTATAATCACCAAAAAAGATGTTATCCACATATAATTTCTGGAAGAATTACAGCAGGCACATGTAATATTAAAAGATATAAACAAAAAAAGATATAAATCAAGAAAATATCTTACTGTTTTTGGCAAGGTTGGATCAACCGCTGTTTCACTATAACCAATTGCTTCATAAAGTAAAACTTTTTCTTCAGGTGTCAACATTTCTTCAAGAACTATAAATGATAAATAAGTGCTTTATGGTCTTACTACTAACAATATAAAATAAACATAATTTACCTGGCTTTCTAAGTAAAAACAAAACTTAGATTTTTGTTTTATTTATAGTGTGTGTGTGTGAGAGAGAGAGAGAGAGAATATGCTCAGAGTGTTTGTGAAGGTCAGAGAACAATTTTGAGAAGGTGACTCTCTACTATTATGTGGGATCTAAGGTCCAAATTCAGGTCACCAAATTTGTAAACAACACTATAAACCACTCAGACATCTTCCTGCCCAACAAATTTTTATTTTTATTGTAATATATTTTACAAGTAATAGCTATAGATTCGTATTGGCAATTTAGAAATGATTCTTCAATAAAATGGTTGCTAAGCAAAGCTTTGGCAATATACTTTTTTCACTGTCTGTGTTAAGCAAAAACTTACTAGGCACAGTATTAACCAATACAAAGTATATTTAAATACTATCTTAACTGTCTCTCCACTTACAGATGTATAACATAGATCTAGAGCACCAAACTTCATCATACTGATAAGTGAGAAATCCAAGATGTATCACATATCTAAGTCCCTAACTCTGCATAGCTATGATCTTTATTATTGGAGTAAAAATCATGTTGTCTGTAATCCCACCTATCTAGGATCGGAGTCAGAAAATTACACTGAGCTTCAACAACAGGGACTTCCCAGGAAAAAACAAACAAAAACCTGCTTACTTAAAATAGTTACAGACTTGAGGCAGTAACACAGAGGTACAGTGCATGCCTAAATATAAGCAAGGCTCTAGATTTACTCCACAGCACATACACACCTACACTTCCCAAAAAGAGAAGGCGGAAGAAAAAAAAATCTTCCTAAGAAGCAACTTTAAAAAAAATAATAAATTTCCTGTGGTTTAAAGCGTTCTGAGACTTCTATTTACCTATCACTATACCCCATGTGCTGCATTGAGTACACCCAGTGCAAAGCTCTTCTGCAGCATCTGGAGGATAGCTTCAACTATTTTATTGAACAAATAACTCAAAATAACAGTAATTTTATAATTTTGATAACAATTTATCATTATGAATACTTATTTATATTATCTATCTTAATAAGAAAAAATTCTGAAAAACTTTACTTCCACACTTAACTATACTAATACAAAATGAAATGAACATACTTCCAGGTTTAACATCTAGTTGTTGATTAGCATTTGATTCTGACCAAGTCCACAGCCAGCTAAACCATCCTGAATTATCCTCTGGATGTTTTACTCCTTCTTTGTAAATCTTGTATCCAGCTTTCTTTACCTAAAATAAACAAGTTTTCCAATAGATAAATTATCTTTCTTTTAGCAAGCAAAAGAAATGGAAGCAAGATTATTTCCAATGAACCTATTTTGAGGTGAATAAATGCAAATAAACACACATACTAACAACATAACACAGTAACTATAACATTCACCAAACAAAACTTTGGAGTAACACATGGTTGTCCCTGTGGTCTAACAAGGTAAGAGAAATTGCAGGCTGGAGAATTAGCTTTGCATCTACTTATGAACTCCAAAACTTTCAGAAGCCTAATTGCTTACAAAAAACTTTGACTTATTTGAACAAATGTTACAAAAACATATCAAGTGTTATTGACAAACAAAATGCACATTTCAACTCTTCAGAAAACAGTATTTTGCACAATACTGATACTACATTACCTGTCATATAATACTTTGATTTATTCTTATCAATTTAATGATAATCTGAAATTACCTCAACTTCTGCCTGTTGTCTAGCTATGGTTATATTAAAAACATCCAAGGTTCTCTCCAACTCCTGAAAATGTAAGAAAAAAAATTGTTAACTGTACAGTAATTTTACATATCCAACTTTAGAATATAAGCTACTACACTAAGGAAAGACAATGGAAAACAGAATATAGAACACCTTCAATATGTTATCTTACATTCTGGGTTGCAAGGTTTACTTACACACACACACATACACACTCACACACACACAAACACACATACGCTGGTGTAGTAAATAAAAGCAGAAACATATCCAAATAAGAGAGACAGAGCATGGTCAGTAAAAAGACTAAATAATTAAAAAGTAGCAGTCACTAACAATTGGGCAGAAGGGACACAGGGGTGACTCAGCAGATAGACATGCTTGCCACCATGCCTACTGTCTAACTCACGTGGTAGAAGGGAAAATAACTCCATGTTACTCTCTGACCTCTATTCATGCACCACCAGCATGCACACATAAATACATGTAAATGTTTTAAAGACAAACAACACTAAGGAGAAATTATGCACCGCAAAATATCCAATGATTGTTTTAAAATGCTAACCTCCAGAGACATGAGAATTTCAGGAGATGGCTTCTTACTTGTTAGCTTTCTCTTATAAAATTCTCTATATTGTTTCATTTTCTGTCTATGAGCTCTAATATGATTCCATGACCACATCCGTAATCTGGGACAAACATTTACTTCAAGAATACTTTTTATAGCATAAGCCCACCTAGTTAAAAAAAAATAAATAAAAAAGAACGAACCCACACTTACTACCAAATCAACAATACCAAAACAACTGAATTTGTTTTTTCTACTATGAGTAACTACAATAAGGAAACTATGAAAACAGTATGCTATCTAAACACTTTATTTACAGTAACACTCTACTAATTATTACTATATCTTGCAACATAAAATAAACAAAACATTCAATATTGTTAAAAAATAGTTCTGCACAGCTTAAGGCATAAATGGAAACTAGTCAATAATATAGAAATAGTTATATAAGAGTACCTACAAATTCTGGACACTGAACTAGAACTTAAAAAAAGAATAGCAAGATTTTTAAATTTAAAAATAAGGTTACACAGATAAGACTACGGAACTGTCTGAGATACCAAATTTCAAGCTGAGTTGATACAGGTCTAATGAGTAAATTAGGGAAATTTAGGGGGAAAAACAAAACAAGGTGAGCTTTAATTATTTAAAAACTGCTGACCCTACTCCAGTACATAAAAACTACATTATTCTAGGATTTCTAGTTGTAAATTCCATTTGAAGAATTTCTTGAGTCAATTCAGTAACACATAAAGGAAGCTACATACATTGCTAGGTCCAAATCAGTTTGCACCAAATCTTACAACTGCTTTAAAAACATAGTAAATTTAGCTTAGTGATACATTCTTAAATATTAAAAATAATATTAATTAACATGTTTAAAATTTTCCAAACAACCAAAGCATTTACCATTCTTTGGCATGGTAGTGAAGAGGCACACTGGGCTTGAATTTTCTGTATGGCAGGTTTTGTTGCATCATGTCAACTGACTCGAGAAGCTCCATGAGACTGAAATACTAGGGAAAGAAAGTAAAAGCTCTGAAATATTTCAGGGTTCCTCTTCAACTACTCAAGGTAAAAGTCAAATTACTGAGTTTTTCACGAAATGTTATATAACCAAATTTCAGGAAACACGTAAATCTTAACTTAGTTTTCATTAAACAGTAACTCAACCTAAATGTCACCAAAGAAAATCACCTGTGGTTTATTAAACTCAATTGCTATGGTATGTAATTCAACATCCAGGTTTATTTTGGGGTCAGAAAAGTCAAAATCTGGTCTTCGATTCATCTGAAGTTTGGCATTAGCAGATATAGGTCGAAAAACTGAAAAATAATACAAATTGAAAAAAATTAGAGCTCTACTTCAAATGTGTCCAAGCACTAAACAGAGCACCTAAGAAATACCTTTGCCCCTCTTTCACAGCCTCTCCACAGTCCCAAATACCCAAGCTGCTGACTCTGGTTAGACAAACTCTTCATAAATTAGTAGAGAAGAATCAGCTTTAATTCTAGATTTAATTTATTTTTGGAGAATATTAGAAATGTTAAGATTTATTTATCATTAATTCAATGTTATGGTCATTTCTCTGTAAACTCATATTCTTCAATTTGCACAAAGAGGTGGGAGAATAAAAATTTACTCAAGATTGTCTGCTTGGATCAAATGTAACAAGTATACAGGGGAGAACAGTGATAGGATCAACTACTGAATTATAATCTGAGTTGTATATAAAGATAATACAATATGCTTGTTTTAACCACCACTAGCACATCTTTTATACATTAAACTTAAATACTATCTGCTTGAATACAAAGCAATACTTGAACCTTTGACTTAAATCCTCAGATCTACTTTTAACCTGCTAAAATTAAGGCTTATTTTCTTTCTCATTTTTAACAGATATAATCATAAAAGTTACATGTGACCCATGTATACAATTATACATTGCTATACTTATATTAATTAGTATAATTAATGTAAACATTAGTTAAAATAGTTCAATCATATCTGTCTGCTTAATTATCTGTCAATTCTTTATGATAAAAATTTCAATAGATTTTTTTCCTATCTTTAAAAAAGATTATTTGGGGACTTTGGGAATGTTCAATGAGGCTAGATGAGTTTACCAGAGCCTAGTGCAAAGCCTCACCTCAGAGAGTTGGATGCAAAAGGCCCCGGAGGAGCCCAGAAATGTGCTCTTTTTATTATTATTTTACAACTTATTCACTTTGTATCCCAGTTACTGTCCCCTTCCTCATCTCCTGATCCCACTCTCCCTCCCTCTTCCTCCCTCCTCTTCCCTAGTCCACTGATAGGGGAAGTCCTTCTCCCCTCCTGTCTGACCCTAGCCTATCAGGTCCCATCAGTACTGCCTGGATCCTCTTCCTCTATGGGCTGGCTAGGTTGCCCCACCAGGGGAGAACTGATCAAGGAGCAGGCAACTTGATCATGTCAGAAACTGTCTCTTCTCCCCTTACTAGGGAATCCACATGGAGACTGAGCTTTGTATGGGCTACATCTCAGCAGGGGATCTAGGTCCTCTCTATTTTAGTTAGCCAAACTAAAAGACAGAGAGACACTATCCAAATCAAAAAAAAATCAGAAATGAAAAGGGGTACATAACAACAGACACTGAAGAAATACAAAGAATCATTAGGTCCTACTTCAAAAGCCTATACACAACAAAATTTGAAAATCTAAATGAAATGGACAATTTTCTTGATAGACTCCATTTACCAAAGTTGAATCAAGATCAGGTAATAAATTAAATAGTCCTATGTCCCCTAAGGAAATAGAAGTTCTCATCAAAAGAAACACACACTTCAACAAGCTTCTAAGCGATGTGAACGCTGCTTGGTGGAATCACAGTTTACAACACTACTGGACCCCGTCCACTTTCTCTTCTATACCACTATTTCACAGCCTCTTCTCTCTTCAGATGCCTTCAGCACCTAAGGTGCTTTCAAAATACATGCACACATGCTCTCAAGAGAAGCACCATTAACTCCTATTACCATCCCTATTCATCTAGCAAATACCAATATTTTTCTCTTACAACCAAACTGTCTTACAAGATGAACTGATTATGTCCTGCCCCTAAAAAAGCTCTTCATTTATGTGACAGAATCCAGAAATCCTCCCAAATCTTTTACATCATTACATTTGCATGTTCTACTGGATAATTCTTAGCTAAGCATATAAAAAGCCATTATCTATCCCATTAACTAGAAGAAAAGGAGAGTAGGTAGAAGGCAAGGAAGACAAGTATGCAGTTATCAACTTATAAACATCAAATTCACTTTTAAACGCTTGTTTAAAAAAAGAAAAAAAAAACATGATTTTAGGCCATTAGTATTTTAGCATTTTCCCCTTTACCAACTGGCATAATGCTATACATAGAGATCAACAGGAGAGAGTCATACTGTGAGATCCCAGTATGCTCATTTAACAGGCTTCCACAGAGGCAATATTCACTAACACCTAGCTCTGATATAAGATGGTTTCTCCGGTATCTGGTTCCCACTGCACAAAGGACTTCTCTGGCATCAGCATTTTGCAATGCACAGCAGCTAGCAGTAGCCAGCAACCAACAACTTCCCCCAGGACCTTGCTTTAAGGATAGGCCAGGAGATACAACACCAAGCGTCCCATTAGTTACAGAGGTGGATTGCCAACATATTTTGCTAACACAATAGTACAGAGACATTCTGACCCTAAAAAAAATAATGTTCGTGTCATTTTGTCATTTTCAACAATTTCTGCATTTCAGTCACAGGTTGAAGGTCTTCTTTAGAAACTCATCCTTAGCTCAAATATAGGATCCATTCTTTTCATCTACCACTCCTACATCCTTTAGCATTCTTTATGCTTTTCACCACTGATCCTGTTATTCAAATATCCTTTAACAGTTACTAATTATTTGCTTTCTTCAATGGACTCTTACACACAAAATATAAATCAAATCTACATATATCTGAGAATTATAAACATATGAGAGGTAGTTATCTGACCTCATATTTCCTCTGAGAAGGAATTAAAAATAAAACCAACTTCAAAATAATGAAAATAAAAGTTTGGCACAAGGCACTAGGCATGCAGCCCAGTAACAAAGTGATTGCCTGGGGTCAATCCCAGGGGAAAAAGAAAAGAAAAGAAAAACAAGAGACAATGATAACAATAACAAAAACTGCCAGAGTTGACAGAAATGCCATTTGAAGAAATTATGAAAAAGTTATCACAAACATAGCAATAAATAAAGGAAACTTTTACTGATGTCAAGAAAACTCCAAAAAACAATATGCTATGCCTTATCTAGAAGCCAAATTTTAAAACTAAGTTACTAAGTAGCCTCAAAGCTAAAAATATTTTTTAAATCACTCCTTTCCTACCTTGTCATCATAAAAGTAACATCAGCCTAACTACACAGTTAGTTCCAAGACAGCCATAGCTACATAGTGGGTGCTGGAGGTTAATCTATGTTCACTTAAAATAACTCAACAGTAAAAAATAAAAATTTTAAGCGCGATATGGTGATTCCCACCTTTAAACCCAGAATTTGGGTAAGGCAGGAAAACTGCCATAGGTTTGATACAAGCCTGGGTTACTGAATAATACTTTTGTCTTAAAAGGTGAAATTATTAGACAGTTGATAAACAGAAAAATCATAATACCACTATAGATATACCAGTTAGCTATATTAAATTGTACTTGATTCTGAAATGTCTTAATAAACATTAATATAATTGATACTAATCCTTAATATTTAACACAATTCATTAAAATTCTCTTATTAGACACTTTCTCCTACAGTTTTGAAATGTAACCAAAAATTCTAATAAAATATGTTGAAAAGGTAAGTCTATTTTGATTTAAGTTGAAAAGTGTGTGTGTGTGTGTGTGTGTGTGTGTGTGTGTGTGTGTATTAACTAGGAGGAAATTTAATATAATATAATCCAGTAGAAACTGGGAACAGTGGCACACACTTATAATCCCAGCAATCAGGGAGGCAGAAGCAGGCAGATCTCTGTGAGTTCAAGGCCAGCCTGGTCTACAAAGCCAAGTCCAGGACAGCCAAGATTACACATAGAACCCATGTCTAGAGTAGACAAAATAAAACAAAACAAAAAAACAAAAGATAATCCAGTATATCAGCCATGTTAACATAATAGCTTATCTAAATTTGCTAATTTTTATTTTATCTAAGAACTTACCAAAATCATAACCTCCTGGAACAATATTTTCATTGACAATACCATTTTTCAAGGCTTCCTATTAAAAAAAAAAAACAAAAACAAATTGTTTTATAGCTGTGCAAGTATCTTTATCCTACAAACATATTATCAATAAGAATATTTAAAAGCAATTTAAAAATGATAAAATGTTAAAATGATAAAAAAGGATAAAATGTTCAAAGGGCTGAGCAATGTTATCATTACCTATTATGAAGGAATCTTCTAGTTAATTCTGTTTTTAAAAGTCCTATAGGGCTCTGTTTAGAAGCAACACTGACTCTAGGGCTGCATTTTGGACTACGAGTCAAACATTATATAAAATGTAATACAACAAATGTACACATAAATATTTACTTACCAACGATTCATCATAATTACTCAGATAGTACATTTTAGACTTCACATTCCAGTAAGCAAAAAGATTATCTAACCGGATTAGCTAGAAATAAAGCAAGTTTATTACATGTTTGTTAGTTGTTTTTTGTTTTGTTTTTTACAACTGATTTACTTTGTATCCTGACTGTAGACCTCTCCCCTTATCTCCTCCCAGTCCCACCCTCCCTTTCTATTCTCCCCCCATGCCCCTCCTCTAGTCCACTGATAGGGGAGGTCCTGCTCCCCTACTATCTGACCCTAGTCTATCAGGTCTCATCAGGACTGGCTGCATTGTCTTCCTCTGTGGCCTGGACAGGCTGCTCCCCCTTCAGGGGGAGGTGATAAAAGAGCCAGCCACTGAGTTCATGTCAGAGATAGTCCTGTTCTCGTTACTAGAGTACCCCCACTTGGATACTGAGCTGCCCATTACATTTGTGCATGGGGTCTAGGTCTCCTTGGTTGGAAAACTGGTCTCTGCAGGAACCGCTGGGCCCAGGTTTTTTGGCTTTGTTGGTCTCCTTGTGGAGCTCCTGTCCCTTCCAGGTCTTTCTATCTCCCCCTTCTTTTATAAGATTCCCTACACTCTGCCCAAGGTTTGGCTATGAGTCTCGGCATCTGCTTCAATATCCTGCTGGGTCTTTCAGAGGCCTTCTGTGGTAGGGTCCTGTCTTGTTCCCTGTCTTTTCCCACTTCTGATGTCTATCCTGTTTGCCCTTCTGAATGAGGTTCCAGCCTCTTCCCTAGGATCTTGTTGTTTATGTTTATCTTAGTTACTTTTTTTTTTTAAAGGATTTTTAACTTTTGCTCTGCTCAGAAGTCTCAAGGACGTGAGTCTAATCCTAGGTAAAGCAAATAGACATAATTCCCATAATTGTTGTTTACACAAACACACATATCATCATCAGCATCTCTCTAAAATTCCCTTTCATCCAGTCCAGGGAATAGAATTTATTTTACCTTCCGAACTAGTTTCTCAGCTTCATCATGTAAACATGGAACCCAGTATTGATCAGTTGTCTGAAGGGGACGGGGGAAAAGAAAAAGACCATTATATATAACAAGCAGGTCATTGTCTATCATACCCTAAGATCAATTTCCCATGAAAATCCTTGGAAAACATATCATTTAGTCAAAAATAATATTATTGGACCATTAACCCTAACCCTTTGCTTTAAAAAAAAAAAAAAAAAAGCGCACTGAACAAAAACAAGCAAAAATAATCAATTTCAAACAGGTAATTTTATAACCCCAATACACAACAGACAGAACATAGCAAAAACAAAAAAAAAAAATCAAACTCGGAGGTGTGCCAGATACAATGACTAACCTAAAACAGTACACTTGTTGAAAGAACTCCTGACAAAACAACCTCATCACCACCAGAGTCCAGACACCATGAACTGATACTACTTATGGTAAACTTGTGATTCCAGGAAGGAAGACATAGTTGGTTTTGTTTGCTTGTTTATTGTGTTTTGATTTTGTTGTTTTTTGTTTTGTTTTAAGGCCCAAGATATGGCCAGATAATAAAATACAGGAAGTAAAAAAAAAAAAAAAAAGTTAATTAAGGTCAGACTTTAAAGGTTTATACACAGTATAAATACAGATTTTAAACCAAGAGTAATCAAAGTCACTGAGGATAAGACCAGGTGTATACTGAAGACTACTTATCAAGGAATGTTGCAGAAGGCCCCAGGTTCAAACCAAAATTTTAAATTTTAAAAAATAAAAAATGGGAAATAAAGTATTCAAATAATTATTTGCATATGAATTTTTCTTTCAAGGCAAGGTCTGGTAATATAGCCCAGACGGCCTTGAGCTCATGCTACTACCTCATGTTCCAGATGCTGGGATAACAGGTCTGTGCCATCACATCCTGCCAGATCCTTGATCTGAGAAAAATGGTTCCCACTGTTGTGTGAAGAACTGACTAACAGAATGGCTCCCAGACTTTAGCATGAATTATGATCAACAAGAGTGACTTTTAAAGCATAGATTTTATACTAGAGATGGGGCTCAGCTGCAGATTGCTTACCCACCATGCTGAGCCCCAGCACTGCAAAAACCTGTAAAACTAAATATACAAAACACATATCAGGATGCCAAACCAAGAGTCTGTAACTGTATGAGTCTCTTATGGCTGACATGTTTCCAGGAACCTCCAAAGTTTATGGGGTTGCAGAGATAATTCAGTGGTTAGAAACACATATGACTTTTGCAAAAGGACTAGGGTTCAGTTCTCAGCACCCACACACAGTGACTCACAATTACTCCAATTCCTACACTGCCTTCTGTCTTCCTTTGGTGGGGTCCCATCATGCACATATGATGCACATAAATACACTCAGGAAGACACAAATATACATAAAGTATTTTCAATCAATAAAGCCACTGTTGTTATTGGAGCAATAGTTTTCACTTTACCAAATATAAATAGTAGCTCTCTATATTTTTCTGTCAGCAGAACAGCAGATACCATCCCTTTTACCAAGGAATGTCTGGCTTACACAACTCTCCTCCCTTTCTTTTTCACTTGCAGAATCATGTTTTAAAAAGTAAACTATGCAAAATAAACTAATAGAAGATATAATACTGAATGGAATATAATACTGAATTGTGTTATTTGTAGCTACAAAATTAAAGATGAAAAACACAGTAAACTACAAAAAGGTAACCTACAGAAGAATCATATAAAATATCTGTATCAACTTAAAAAGTGAAATCAACGTTTTGGTGATAAGCACCTACTTACTCCTCCCTTTTAATCAAGTCTATTAGCTTCCTAGACCGTTCTACACACCTAAACAAACACATATCAAGTATATTTTTGATGCCGACTTAACCATGTATCCATTTATACTACACAATTTAAAAAGTTACATTTTCTTTTGAAAAAAGTACCTGCATGCTGAGATTTTGAAGGGAAATACCAAATGACAGTGGTTTGTCTCCATTTGTGATCTTAAAAAAAAAAAAAAAAAGTGAATTAGACAGACCCTGCTTTCAGTCCCAACCTTTGCCAGAAAAAAAATAAAAAATAAAAACAAAAACAAACAAAGCCCTCTATTTTTACATAAATTCTCCATCAATGCATTTAAAACTATCAATCTCTATGCACTTTAAAATGTAAAATACCAAAGTAGGTCTTTAGACTCAAAGACCTACTACGTTGGGCATTTTTTCTATAGACTTGGTCTTTCCACATATGTATTAGTTTTTTTTCTTTATTTTTTTAAACTGATTGGAAAAAAGTGCACTTTAAATTATTTATGAAAGTTTATGATGTATCTATGCTTTTCTTTTGTAGTAATTACAGTTCATTCACTTTGTATCCCAGCTACAGCCCCCTTCCTCATCCCTTCCCAATCCCACTCCTCTTCCCTCTTCTCCTCCATGCCCCTCTCCAAGTCCAAGGTCCTCTTCCCCTTCCCTCTGGCCCTAGCCTATCAGGTCTCATCAGGACTGGCTGCACTGATTTCTGTGGCCTGGAAAGGCTGCACCCCCTCAGGGAGAGGTGATCAAAGAGCTAGCCACTGTGTTCATGTCAGAGACAGTCCTTGTTCCCCTTACTAAGGCACCCACTTGGACACTGAGCTACTATGGGCTACATCTGTGCTGGGGTTCTAGGTGATCTCCATGCATGGTCCTTGGTTGTAGTATCAGTCTCAGAAAAGAGCCCTGGGCCCAGATATTTTGGTTCTGTTGCTCTCCTTGTGGAGTTCCTGTCTCCTCCAGGTCTTTCTATCTCCCCCTTCTTTCATAAGACTCCCTGTACCCTGCCCAAAGTTTGGTTATGAGTCTCAGCATCTGCTTTGATACCCTGCTGGGTAGAGTCTTTCAGAGGCCCTCTGTGGTAGGCTCCTGTCCTGTTGCCTGTTTTTTCCCTCTTCCAATGTCCATACCACTTGCCTTTCTGAGTGAGGACCCAGGGTCCTCCTTCTTGCTTAGCTTCTTTAGGTGTACAGATTTTTGTAGGTTTATCCTATATTATATGTCTAATATCCACTTATAAGTGAGTGTATACCATGTGTGTCTTTCTACTTCTGGGATACCTCACTTAGAATGATCTTTTCAAGATCCTACCATTTGCCTGCAAATTTTATGATTTTTCTTGTTTTTAATTGTCGAGTAGTATTCCATTGTGTAAATGTAATACAATTTCTGTATCCATTCCTCTGTTGAGGGACATCTGGGTTGTTTCTAGATTCTGGCTATTACAAAAAAAGCTGGTATGAACATGGTTGAGCAAATGTCCTTGTTGTGTCCTTGAGCATATTTTGGATATATGCCTACGAGTGGTATAGCTGGATCTTGAGGAAGCACCATTTCTAATTGAGAAAGCACCAGATTGATTTCCAAAGTGGTTGTACAAGTTTACATTCACACCAGCAATGGAGGAGGGTTCCCCTTTCTCCACATCCTCTCCAGCATGTGTTGTCACTTGCGTTTTTGATCTTAGCCATTCTAATGGGTGTAAGATAAAATCTCAGGGTCGTTTTGATTTGCATGGTACTGGCATAGAAAAAGAATGATGGATCAATGGAATTGAATAGAAGACCCAGAAATAAACCCACACACCTACGGATAATTCATTTTTGACAAAGAATACAAAACCATACAATGGATAGAAGACAGCATCTTCAACAAATGGTGCTGGTCCAACTGGATGACTACATGTAGAAAAATGCAAATAAATCCATACTTATAACCCTGAACAAAACTAAAGTCCAAGTAGATGAAAGACCAGATACACTAAATCAGTTAGAAGAAAAAGTGGGGAACAGCCTAGAACTCATTGGCACAGGAGACCACTTCCTGAACAGAACACCAACAGCACAGGCTCTAAGAACAACAATCAATAAATGGGACCTCATAAAACTGAAAAGCTTCTGTAAAGCAAAGGACACTATTGTAAGAGCAAAATGACAGCCTACAGACTGAGAAAGGATCTTCACCAATCCTGTATCTGACAGAGGCTGATATCCAGAATATATAAAGAACTCAAGAAGTTAAAAAGCAACAAATCAAGTAATCCAATTAAAAAATGGGTACAGAGCTAAACAGAGAATCCTCAACAGACGAATATCAAATGGTAGAGAAATAATTGAAATGCTCAATATCCTTAGTCATCAGGTTTTTTGTTTTTGTTTTTAATCTCAGACTCTTTGGGTCATCTTTTAAGCAGCAACTGGAGGCTCCCTCACAGCCACAGATGATGACTACCTCTCATTGGAATGGCAGCATTATTTATGAAACTTATGTTATGCGCACAATTTTATTTTAAAGAGGAGAGGGGACATGTTCACTCAAAGATTTATATATATTTTCATTGTAAGAACCCAACTTTTTGTTAAGTTTTAATTGTTAAAAATATATATATATTTGAAGCCAAGAAGACTCTTTAAAGTTCTTTCTTCCAAGAACCAAGAGACAGCCAGGTTAATGATGTAATTCTCTCTAGGGCACATGTATTGGTGTTGTGCCTTTTCTACCATACAAGATTAAATAAACTTGTCAGAAGTGTGCTTAAAAAAATTTTTTTTAAGGACACAGCACCATTAAAAGTAAATGGGATGGTTATCTTTAATTGTGAACTCGACACAATCTGGAAGCACCTGAGCATCAGGTTCATTTATGGTCATGTCCAGTAAGACAAGGTGTTGTGTATATAGGGGTAGAGGTGGATCATCTTGATGATGTTAACTGATATGCCCTCTGTGGGTGGCATTGCTCCCTGGATTTGGGTCCTGTGCTATGTATGAGTGGCAAAAGCAAGCTGAGTACAGCATGCAATTCATTCTGTTTCTGCTTTGATGAATGTGAATGCGACTCTCTGCATCATGTTCCTGCCCTTACGTTCTGCAATGATGAACTCTGACCTGAATTGTAGCCAGTAAAGTATTTCTCTCTTAACGATGCTTTTATCAGGTTTTTCATCACAGCAACAGAAAAACCACAAACTAGAACAGCAACTAAATACATATTTAAGAAAACAATAAAGTAATAAAGAGCAGAAATAAAGTTAGCTCTACTTACTTCTAAAACAGTGATCTTTCCTGGAGGTAAAAAAAAATCTGTAAAATTCATTAACTCCCAAGACACCACCTTCATAATCCAAAGTTTGAACAGCTTAAGCAAAGTGTAATCAAGAACTCATTAAAAGTGCAACAATAAAACAAAAAGATCTTATGGTCCTAAGATCTTGGTCCTTCCACTTCCCAGTATTTACTAGGCTGGACACTATAGAGCAAAAGCCAGAAACAGTAAAGTACATACATAAAGATAAAATACTTACATCATCTTCATAACGAACATGGATATTGGAAATTTTCACTTGAAGGTTTTTTATGATTTGAGTAACTAATTTTTCTGCAAAAGTGTCCTGTTTCTCTTCCGGAGGATTTTCTACAATTATAAGTATTTCTTTTTAAATTAAATAAAACGCAAGCCCTATAAATATCCATATATTAAACTAACATTGCCTTGTTAAAGAAAATGTGTAACATTTTTAATAGATCACTTGAGATTTTCAAAATCGTTCATTCCGAAGGTCTTTTAAAAGCAACTAGGTAGACAATGTTTAAAAGCTAGCTTCTTGTCTCACTGGGCAGTAACAAGAGGCACTCTAGTGGCAGTAACAAGAAGACAGCTGGAAAAATCGGGTTTCTATGGGATACCTCTTCCACTGATGATCAATGAGCTGTAATGATGAGTCATGTGACCTACAGTGAACTAAGGTGGAATGTTGGGGGGGAAGATCGAGTAAAGCAAACATAAACACATTAAAGGATTAAGTATATTGAAGAGTACATAGTCTATATAAGGGGGATATAAAGGCAAAGGCTAGAAAGGTAAGATCTACTTGGTACCCCTGCTAATGTTAAAAACTGACTTTACCCTTGCAACAAACTATTATTTGCCTTAAGTTTCACAAGGTAAAATTTCTGCACATATAACAAAACGTGGAACTTTCCAGGTAATAAAATGGCTTTCTGCTTGTAACATAATTTCAGCATATCCAGCAGAAAACAATATACTAATATAAAATTTACTGTATAGAACAATAAATAGTAAATACTTTACTACCAGTTTATTGACTTTTTACCTTGATTAACTACTTTCTGTTTTGCTTCTTCTATTCTTTTTAGTTCCCGTTGCTTTGTTTCCATGAGATGTTTTTCTTCTTTGATAGGATCATATTTTATTCCTACAGAAATCATAAAAAAATTTCAACTACCTTAAATTTAAATATACTCATTCCAAAAATTATCCTTGAAAATGATCAACAATTCAAAGCCTGAGATTTAAAACAAAAAAAAAAAAACAAACAAACAAAAAACCATGCAATTCAATTTGAATCAACAAACCCTAAATTGAAATCCTAAATTATCTTTACCAAGATTACTTATAACACAAACAAAATATAGGGGCTGGAGATATAGCTCAATAGTTAAGAGCACTGATTGCTCTTCCAAAGGACCTGGAAACAATTCCCAGCACCCACATGGCAGTTCACAACTGTCTGTAATACCAAGATCTTATACCCTTACATAGACATACACACAGGCAAAAACATCAAAGCACATAAAATAAAAATATTTACATAATATAAAGATTTTTCTATCTAAAATAAGAATAATTTAAATGATAAATTTTGAATGACTTACTAGAAGAAGGCACTATGAGTAAATAAATTTCTTCTAAAACAGCTTCAACTGGTTGAGTATAAAGGTTTTTCCATGGAATTTTAAGCGCAAGACTACCTACATTAAAATAATAAAGACAAGAATATTGTTCATTCAACAGAAATCTACATATATGTGTGTGTATACATGTATACATATGTATGTGTGTATGTGTATATATATATATATATATATATAAAACATTAGAATACATCTTTGAAAGATCAGTAGAAAAAGCAATAATAGTGTCAGAGGAACACTACATTCCTATAAAATTGACTGGACTTTAATATAATTCATTTAGACTAGGTACTTTTCCATTCAACAAATACATCAGGAAATATACTGTGGCATCTAAAAGAAAAAAGAAAGGAAAGGAAGAAGGAAAGGGGAAAGAAAGGGGGAAAGGAAAGGAAAAGGGGAAAGGAAAGGAAAGGGGAAAGGAAAGAAAAAGGAAAAGGTTATGGAAAAGGAAAAGGAAAAGGAAAGGAAAAGGAAAAGGGAAAGGAGAAGGGAAAGAAAAGAAAAAAAAGAAAAAGAAGAAAAAGGGACCTAGACCCTCTGCTCAGAGGAAGCCATAGGCAGCTCAGTCTCCATGTGGGTTCTCTAGTAAAGGGAGCAGAGACTGTCTCTGACATGGACTCTGTAGCTGGTTCTTTGATAACCTCCCCCAGGGGAGGCAGCCTTGCCAGGCCACAGAGGAAGACAATGCAGCCAGTTCTGATGAGACCTGATAGTCTGGGGTCAGATAGTAGGGGAGGCGGTCCTCCATTATCAGTGGACTAGGGGAGGGGCATAGGGGGAGAAGAAGGAAGGCGGATGGGACTGGTAGGAGATGAAGGAGGAGGCTACAGCTGGGTTACAAAGTGAATAAATTGTAAATAATAATAATAATAAAATTTTTAAAAGAGGTAAGCACAATAAAAGTAACAAACAAATATAATATAATATAAATATAATGTAAAATATAATATTAAAGGATGGCGGTTACCATATGAATGTATACAAGTAACACCTTAATTCTGTCTACTGAATTTTCTAGTATCTGAAAATTAATTTATTGTCATTTTTTTTACAAGAGAAAACAAAAGAGGGCAAGATCTAAAAAAAATAAGGTGTATCTCCTGTTATATGTATGTATAAATATACATTTGTTTTTATATATAGTTTTATATAATGGCTGGAATCAAACCTGTGATGATTAATACTGATTTTCAATTTGACAGGAAACAAGCTCTAAGGGTATCTATCTTTAAGGTCATTTCCAGAGAGGTTTAAAGAGGAGGGAGGACCTATTCTAAAGTTGAGCAATACAATCGCAGGGTCTGGAGTCCCACAGTAAATCACAAGGAGAAAGAGAGCTAGGCACCAGAATTTCTTTCTCCTTCTTGGCTTTTATCAAAATGTAACAAGCCACCTTCTTTTCCTGTTGCCATCCCTTCCCAATTATGATGAATTGCACCCTCAAACATAACCAAATAATCCCTTCCTTCCTTCAGCTGCTTGTGTCAGGCACCTTAGCATACCAATGAGAAAAGTAACTAGTGAAATCTCAACCTTGGTATATTTTTATATATTTTAAACTTTCTTGATATATTTCTTAATTTTTTCTGAGTTGAGGTTACACTGACATTCACTAAAAATTCAAGAATCACCAGTGGAAAACTTAAGTGACTTCTGCAATGTCTAAAAGCAACATACAAGAAATTTAATATGACTGTTTTACAATATAATAAGATTATTCCACCCAAATGTGTATTCCTCAGATTACTGTGTTATAATAAAGAAGTAAATGAAGTCAAATCAACTTCGATTATGAAAAGTCCTTACACCGTGATCACAAGTCTTTTAAAAAATTTACCAATCCAAACTATAAGAAATAGGCAATAGGAAAATAACAATTATTTTCCATTTCTTGTTTAATGCTTAACTGTCCTTAGAGTAACAAGTAACAATGTCAAATATCAACTTTCTGTGGTCTATGGTCCAATATCAAACGATGAGTACAGTGTACAAAGTTGTGAAGACTGCCATCACAATATTTTATCTAAGTTTCTCAGATATCCTCACAGCTTCAATAACATCATACAAACCTACTATAGTCACTAAAAATAAATAAATAAATAAGTGAGCTGGAAGTTTCCATTTAAGACACTATGATCTTAATCAACCTCTAAGACATTTAAACATTTAAATAAACACACAACAGCATAAACTAGGAATCCTAAAAGAAAATTTTACTATAACATGTTAAACCTTACATTTAGTTTATATCTGTTGTACCAATACATGAATACATGAACTACTTTAAGTTCATACTTTATTTAATTTAAATTCATTCTTTAATGAATTACAAACATGGGTAAAATAATCCAGATCAAACAAATAAACAAACATAAAGCACTTTATTTTCTAGAATAAAAAACCTGCGAAATCTTCTACAGCACAATCAAGGTTTGATTTTGGTCCCCAGATACACTGTCTGGATGATCCAAACCTTGACCTAACCACATAATGGTAAACAGTTAGTTAGAAACATAGAAACAGACACAGTTCCTAAGGTCTGTTAAAGGCTCCTTGGACTCTTAATTCAACGTTAAGACCTACTAAGATAAGCAATTATTGTTTAAGTAGTACATTAACCTCATAATACTTTAAGTGACACACCAAATTCTACATAAACAAAAACACAAGTTATATTATATTATATATTTTCAATTAATGCTCATAAATGTTAGGAAAATTACACTACAGCAATAATAGTTTAATTATTTAGGTTGCATGCCCAGCAAGAAAAACACCCCAGTGATAAATATTGCTTACCTATATGACCAACTTTAACTTTGAATGGTACATCAAGTTCATGCTATAAAGAAAAGTAAATCTGTAAAAAATTCATCCATATAAAGTTCAAAATAAAGATAATTATTTTTTCTAAAGTTACATAAGGCTATTTTAGTTACCTTGCATATTCTCTTTATCCTCAGTATCCATTCAAATGAAATGGTTTTATTACAGAAATATTTTCTTTGCAAAGTAAACAGTTAAGTATATACTTACTGAACAGAAGATTTAGACTTTACTGCACAAAACTGGCATTTTACAAGACAGTAATTTGAAAACTGGTTCTCCCACTCATTGGGAGAAAGAACAGCTGTTACAATAAGTGGTGCTGAGGAATGTGGGATAGCCAATAGTACAAACAGGAAGATGGGTCTTTGTACTTGGATCAAAACTAAACAGAAAAACTAAAACTTTATAGTTTAGAAGAAAACACAAGAAAAAAATCTTCATGATAAATGCCATGGAAATGACAACAAAAGCATAAGCAATGTGAAAATGGATGAATTGGCCTTCTTCATATTAAAAACATTTATACCTAAAAGGACACTTCAACAGATTAGTCAAATATCAGAAGAGGGGAAATACTGTAAACCAAGTAGCTAATCAGAGATCAGTATGCATAATAAATACAGATCTCAAAGACTTCAATCACACCAACCAAACCTGCTTTGACTGATTTCGTGAGGACAGTGTCACTGTGCACTGAAGAAAATTCCCAAGGACAGTGCGGAGCGAGAATGGAAGCTGTGTTTAACATGGCGAGAGTTTCCCTCGGCAATGGCAACAAGTTGTGAAAAGAGATGCTGGATTTGTTGCAAAAGACTGTGAATCTAATTCACATCACCAAATTTAATATATTAAAATGATGTTAAATAAACTAGAAGACAAGCTAAACACTGCACAGAAATACCATATGGAAATAAATAAAATAAATGAGAAAAAAAAAGTACAGCCAGTTTTATCTTTAAGAATTCTACTTTGCAAAGTTCACATTTTATGAAAATAACTTTCAATTTTTTTTCATAGTTGAGTAATTTAAAGTGGCATGTTAAATTACAAAAGAGTGCATTAAGTAAATACACTAATGTCATAAATTTTCATATGCAAAACCTACCAGTGCATTTTCTTTAATTTCAAGATTCTTGAGGACCACGGCTCCTTTAAAAAGAAACACAACAAAGAAATGATATATTCAGTTGTATTTAATTTTTAAGTTAAATATGCTTCATTATAAATACGACATTTAACTACGACAGAAAAAAATGTACATAACAGAACACAGTTATTTTTACTAGCTCATGTTGACTCTTCTGCACAATCTAAGAAGGTCTAACAAAAGAATATCTTGCTCACCACCAGCCTAGGCAAAACGTACCCCAGACGCCATGAAACTGTCTCAAAGCATAAAAAACAGACAGCAACAGTAAAGAATGCCTGACAGCCTCCTGTCCTCTGAGCACTCTTGCTTTCTCTCTCTCCTCTCTCTCTCTCTCTCTCTCTCTCTAAGACGGTGTCAAGAAACAAAGACAGAGAGACGCATAAGCAAAGTATACATACATACATATATATATATATATATACATACACAAAATACAAACAAAACTATGACATAAAGAATGTAATAGCCAAGTGAGAATACAATGTTAATCTCCCTTTCACTTTAATTAAACACAAATGGTTTCACAGGCAGCAAACATCTGTAACTTTTACACTTTGGAGGCCAGAGGCAGAGGAACCAATAATACATAGCAAGTACAAGACCAGTGTGAGCTACAGAGACTGGGATTGAGTTTAGTGGTAGAACATTTGCTCAACATGCACAACTCCCTGGGTTCAACACCTGCAACAGACATAAACTGCCAGAATGAACTCAAGTATACAGATAAACAGCATCCAACAATAAGCTATGTAAATGACTCATTCTACCTCTTAATGACATACATTAAGCTAAAAGGCAAAATCATAGGAAAAGAAATTCCAAGCAGATAACCAAACCACAAAGTGGGAAATATGATTTAGCAATTCTACTTCTAGGTATATATTCAAAGTATCTGAAAGCAAAGATGAAAAGAAAAACAGTCACATTCATAAGAGCATTATTCCAAATGACAGAAGCAACTCATTTATCCATCAATAGATGGAGAAAATCTCTGGAGAAAATCTCTCTCTTGCTCTCTCTCTCTCTCGCTCTCTCACACACACATGGACAGGAATATTATTAATTTTTAAAAATGATTTGAACTCATGCTATAACATGGATAAACTTGTAAGGACACACTGTTTAACAAAAGAAGCTAGGAAAAAACAGGGTAAATACAATCACTATCAGGGAGACAGTAGAGTATGAGTAATTACTGCTTAACAGATACAGTGTTGCCTTGTTCTATAGGTAGGTTTTGAATGCTGTAACATATTTTGAACTTAGTGACATATAGATGTACATATATAAGATGGTTAAGAACATAAACACTAAGACTAGCCTGGTGGCATACACCTTTGATTCCAGTACTTCAGAGTTAGAGCCAGGGGGATCTCTGAGGCTTCAAGTCAGCCTGCCCTACATAATAGGTTCCAGGGCAGCCAGTAAGTTTCAGGGTAACCAGGACTAAATAGTGAGATCCTGCCTCCAAAACAAAACAAAAACAAAGAATACACATACACACACACACACACACACACACACACACACACACACACACACAAATTTTCAAATGAGGTGGGATTCTGAAAGAAAATTAAAAACTCCCAAATAAAAGGAAACATCCTGAAAGTTCTGATGCCTGAAAATAAGTGACCAAAGAAGGATGATCCATTTTCACCAGACAAGTCACCTGCTTTGGTGACAAGTACCTGTGTAAGCCCTTTGTGCCAAATCATCTACCCTGCTACTTGGTGAGTTGGTGAGTTAGCCCTCTGTGTCAAATCATCTACCCTGTTAAGTTCTTTCAGACCCAAACCTACCCTTTCTCTGGTTTAGCTGATGGTCTCCTGATTTGTTGGTGGTTGGGTATCCTCTTTGCTTCAGAGCATTTAAGTAAAAGATCTATTTATCTCCCCATTCCCAGCATCTGACTGTTTCTATTAGACCTTTATTTTCTGCCTTCCCGCCAACATGTAAGTCTATGTTTTCTTCCTGTTTGCTACCACGGTCTTGCTCTTTTACTTTTGAATTCTATGACCATAGTAAACATAAGTCATCTGTTCTCTCCAACCCAAGAGGATAGCGGTAAAATAACTCAGGTAGCAACATCTTGTCTTAACTCTATTGTGTATCTTCCTAGACCTCCCTCAGGCCTTCCACCCTGCAACAGCCACATCCACCTTGGCAACACTTTGGGGAATGTCCATGACCTTGACTATGGTCCCAGAGTTTTAACCAAAATAACTTATTTTTGTTTGAGCTAAAACATAAAGCTAAAATAAGTAAGAAGAATTATAAAATAAAAAATAATTGTAGTGTAGTGTCTGGAAAATACTAAGCCCTCCAAGAAAACAGATGTTATCAAGACTATCCAACCCCTCACTGATCTAAGCCCCCTCAAGCACTGATATAATTGTTGTTTTTTTGTCTTTAAAAATAATTCAGGCCTGAGCTTTGGCACCAAGAGACATTCTGAAGTTATGAGCCTACTCTTGGTCTGGCCATTATTAAAGGATACTCTTAACTGGGTTAATTATTGTAGTTGTCAATAACTCTCTCCCATGTCAGGGGAACTCCACAGAATGCACACTTGCCTCCCAGAAGTCAGAGACAAGAGGCCCCACTCATAGTGTGGATCAAAGTGTCCATACTCAGCCAGGCACACTCCCGTAAGTGTGCAGATAAACCACAGACGCAGTGAGAGAAAACTTCTTCAGAGAAGTAACTGCTGCATAAATCTGACCCCAAACACAAATCTCTCCAACTAGCAAGGTTATATTTCTGAGAAGAAAGTGTTCCACATTGAATACATTATTTGAGGCAAGCAGAATCTATGTTCTCAGGCCATGGTCACTCAAATTTGGCTCAGAATAAATTCTTACATTTCCCTTTGAAGTAAAAGCTGTGTCCATATGAACATAAGAGTTGGGTGGACTCATTTCTTTAGTCTGCCACTGTCACTGATGCCATATTTAGAGTGAATAAGCATTTCTGACATCTCCTAAGGAATGTCATATAACACATTCCTTAATGTGTAAGTGCCTGACAACAGCAACAGTGCCAAAATACATGAGTCAAAAGTGATAGAAGTACAATTGGAAAAGCCAAATACACTGTTACTGTCAGAGACCTGTATTATACACATATCAATTATACACATATTTAGTGGGGAAAAGTACAGACACAATTGAATTGAACATCATTCAAACCCTGGCTGTAACTGACATTATGGCATATGTCATCCAACCGCAATTTACACATTCTTCTGTAGCACATACACAACACTTACAAGATAAGATTTACTCCAGTCTATAAAACAAGTCTGTGTCTAAACAAGTGTGAAAGGATAGAAGTTATACTGAGATCACAATAAACCTGAACTAAAACTCAGTCTAATGGGAAGAAAGCTGGAGAAAAAAAAAAAAAAAATCACAAAACATTTCTGAGTTCTAGTTCTGAATAATGATAGGTTGAAGAAGTCATAAAGGGGACTGTTGAATATTTTCAATCATAGGAATATACAACTTATCAAAAAATGTAAGTACAGTAATGGCAAATCATAGAGAGAGAACTGTAGCACCAAATACAGACATTAGAAAAGAAGAATCTAAACTGGATAATCTCAGTTTCACTTCAGCCCAGGCATGATGGCATACCCCTTTAATCCCATCACTTGAGACAAAGGTAGGCACATCTCTGTGAGTTTGGGAACTCCTTGCTCTATATAGCAAGTTCCAGCAAATAGAAATAGAGGGAATGCATCTAAATTTACTCTCTGATACAAGTAATACCCTAAGACAAAAAAACAGATGAGGATATTACAAGGAAAACTGAAGACTAATACCTGTGAACAGAATGAAAGATCCTCATCAAAAGATAAGTAAACTGAACATAAAATACCATAAGGAAGTGGAACTTATACCACAAATACAAGTCTAATTCAGCATGTGGAAAATAATCCATAGAATCTATAATACCAACAAGCTAAAGAAGAAATCCCATAATCAAGAAATGCAGAAAGCAATCTGACAAAATCCAACACACATTCTTGAAAGAGAAAAAACATTCATACAAATTAAGAACAAAAGAAGTCAGGTGCACACCCACCCTATAATCCCATTCTCAGGAGGATGGCTTCACAGCCAAGGGCAGCCAAGCTACACAGTGAGTTTGACATTGGCCTAGGCAGCATAGTAAAACCCTGTCTCATAAAATAAGACAAAATAAAACAGAAGTGTGCATGACTTGTTTTTAAAAATCTAAATGGCAACTGCCTATTTGGGAGAAAAAGTCAGGAAAAAAATTTTCCCTAAAACAATCATGTTCCATTTATTGATCAGGTTTGAGTTAAAGTAGAGTCAATGTGGAGATTATAGAGGTAGCTAGCCAGCACTTGTTCCTTCTCCATAATCACAAGACACAATCAAAGCCACTGAAAAATGGTGGCTAATCATAATGGGTGGATGTGGGAGAATGCTGAAGCTTAACAGCAAACAAAAAACAGAAAGGAAAAACTCAAGAGATTTTGGGTAGTGCAAGAGAAAATAAAAGAGGCAGAATGAGGGAGGGGGTTAAGAGGGAGGATCCTAGTGTGGGCCAGTAGCACAGGATCTGGCACCTAACAGAAGTACTGCCTCAACAGAGAAAAATAATTTGGATCTGTACAGCAATGAGGGCCTGGAGAAGTCCTCCACACTTCCCAACATATTCTAACAGCACTTAACAGGAAGCCACCTGCTAAGTGGTTCAAATCAATCTTGTCTGAGCTTATCTCTATGGGAACTAAAGACACCTGCATTTTCTCATCTCCGGGTCCTCACAACACAATACTCAGTGGGCAACTTCTCGGAGAATCAGTTTGGATCTAGGAAAGGGCTTCTGACACAAACCCACAGAGAATTCTGTGGTACAAAAATGGACTGCTACACATAATGGTACAAAGAAGATGTTTCCTCCTTCAAGCCCAGCAATTCACAAGCCTGCCATCAAGTGTGCTTTTTTAGGGGAGCTAAATTTC